TATATTGTTTATGCTGGGTCCCTGCTGCTCGAGTTATTCCTAATTAGACATCGACCCCTCACTGCCAAGCAAGAGTAGCTCTACTTAGTTAATTCTCCCCAGTTTTAACTTAGCTAATTTTCCCCATTTTTGTTTATTATTTTTCTACATTAGGATTTTTATTGTACTGTAATTAAACCCAAAGTGTGGTTTAATTCGCGATTTATATTTCATATCAATAACAAAAATTTCCTATGTATGTTTCTATTATTATTTGTTTCTACATTAGATGTTCATTGTATTGTAAATTAAATCCAATGCGTGGTTTAATTCATGATTGATAATGTATATCAATAACAAGAATTTCTATGTATTATTGTCTGTATGTAACCACTTGAAGCTGCGACCAGAATAAAGACACATCAAATTTATCAGGCTGTCTCCATTGTAATTTTACAGGTACCAACAACACAACAACACAACAAAAGCGTTGTAATAAATTGGTGGAGAGTCCCCAAGATCCTCGATGACAGGAAAAAACAAAGTGACAGTGCCAATAAACTACACCGCCAAGACTCGTGCAGCAACTAGGGACCTACCTAAACAACAACAACAACAACAACAACCAGAACAACAACAGCAGCCAGAACAACAACAGCAGCCAGAACAACAACTGGAACAACAACAACAACCCGAACAACAACAGCAACCGGAACAACAACCAGAACAGCAACAGGAACAACAACCGGAACCACCACAGCAACCAGAACAGCAACCGGAACAACAACAGCAACCGGAACAACAACAGCAACCAGAACAACAACAACAACCAGGACTACCACAACAACCGGAACCACCACATCAGCCTGAACAGACACCACCACCACCACCCCAGCAACAGGAACAGCTACCAGAACAACAGCAAACACATTTAGACCAGATAAGACAGCTTGAGCACGAGGTGTTACTCCTGACACAACAAATACATAATCAAACAATAGAAGACAATATAGAATTACCTCCACCACCACCACCACAGGACAATCTACAAGATATCCATTCAGAAATGGCGACCGGTGGAATAAACTTAAAAAAATATAATGTAACAGATTCACCTGTGCTATGGCTGGCCAACCTACAAGCCTGGCAAAAGTTCCACAATGTAACAAATGACAGGACACTGGCAGCAATGTCATTCAACATGGATGGTGCTGCAGCGCTTTGGCTGCAAGGAATACCAGAGCATGAAAAATTAGACCTGACCAAATTCAAAGAATCATTCTTAAACCCATTTGGACAAAAATCGACAGACAATAAGTTTTTTTCATTGAAACAAGAAAGTGACGAGAGTGTGGAAAAGTTTCTAGAAAGGGCTGAAAAATTGGCTTTAGGACACACCATAGCAGAGAGCTACAAAGTCCAGGTAGCATTAAATGGATTCAACCCAAATTCCGTTCCAAAGTGCTGGGAAAGGAACCAAAATCCTTTCTGGACCTTCATCATGCTGTCGACTTAGCGAAGGAAGAGATCTCATGCACCACAGATCCAGACAGTGTCAGTATGATTTCAATGACCAAGTTTTGCGACGAACTGGTTTCAAAATTGCAAACCCAAATTGTAAGCCAGATAGAGGGTGTTAAAGAAGAGGTGTCAGTCATTGCGGCGAAACAACTCCACAACAACAACTCAAAGCAACAAACTTCTGCTCAACATCGTCAACGGCAATCTTTTGAGCCTCAGCAGCAGTACCAGCAATCATTCCAGCCTCAGCCAACATACCAGTCCCAGCAACAGTACCAACCTCAGCAACCATTTCAGCCTCAGCCATCATTCCAGCCTCACCAACAGTATCAGCCTCAGCAACCATTCCAGCATCAGCAACTATTCCAACACCAACCACAGCAACAGCAATTCCAGAACAGAAGGCCATGCCAGGGATGTGGTAAGTCATGCCAAGGGCGTTTTTTATGTCCTGCTTATAATACACAATGTTCATTTTGTAAACTTTGGCATCATAATTCTGATGCATGCCGCAGAAAGAAATTTAACCAACCTCCCTCCAATAACACCAACCAACACCAATCTTCTACTGCCCCTGCACAATACCCTCATAGACACTAGGGATACGCGCCTATCCCTGGCAGCATGGATAGGCAACACCAGACTAGTGCAGTACCACCCATCACAGGACCCAAGATTAACGCTACATTCTCCAAACCCCAGCCACCCATCCATTCTCTCCAACCCAACTCACCCGACAAACCAGTAGAGATAGTTAATCTTGTAACTCCCGTAGATAGAAACACTGTTAGTGTAGAGATTTATGAATCACCAGTAAAAGCGCTGGTTGATACTGGAGCTACAATCTCCTGTGTTACATTATCTTTGTTGACTAAACTAAAGGTAGACACATGTACACAAATTAAACAGTGTTCAGCTGTAACCGCAGTGGTTGCAGGAGGCGAGTCACATCGCAGTCTGGGTAAAATAACCATTCCTGTCACGATTGGAGATTGTGTTTTCACTGCTGACTTTCATGTTTTTGAAAACTTTCATATTCCATTAATTTTAGGCCTAGACTTTTTAAATACACATGAGGCAGTCATTGACATTAAAAAGAAAACTTTGTTTTTGAAAGAACTTGATACAAACAAAATCCTGTCTATCCACACAGAAGTATCTTTGGCTAGGAACACTACACGAAACATTCTACCCCCATTGTCAGTTAACAATATACAAGTCAAAGTATTAGACCTACCACCAAAATCTCAAATACTTTTTGAACCACTACCTAAATTACCTTCATTAGGACTTGTAGGAGCCAAATGTGTTTCCATCATCCAACCAGACCAAACATGTGTTATTCAAGTCATGAATCCATCAGAAAAACAAGTTGTACTCTTTCCTGGCAAAGTGATAGGTTTGGTATCAATCATTGATAAATACACTGTCATGTCTCTCGACACGTCCCTTGATACAAAACCTTCATCATCACTGTCCTCAGGTACAATAACATCTGATCATGATCACATCTCTTTTGACCTAGACAAATCAGATCTTTCAGAAAATCAAAAACTACTCCTACAAGGATTTCTTCAACAAAACAGAAATGTTTTTGCCACTGATCTTTCAGAATTAGGTCATACATCTCAGCAAAAACATAAAATTGAAACCAGTGATGCACTTCCCATCAGGCAACGATTTTATCATCAAAACCCTGAGGTCAAGGCTGAAACTGAAAGACAGATAAAAGAAATGCTAGAAAATGACATCATAACAGAATCCACGTCAATGTGGCAGAGCCCCGTTGTAATGGTGAAAAAGAAAGATGGGCAGTTACGTTTTGCTGTAGATTACAGGAAACTCAACGCTGTCACCAAACAATGTACTTTCCCCCTTCCCCGTCTCGAAGATGTATTTGATTCTATTGGAGAATCCAAAGCTCAATACTTTTCAACACTTGACCTCGCCTCTGGTTTCTGGCAAATCCCAATGGACCCTGAAACTGCTCACAAATCAGCATTTGTGACCCCTGCTGGAGTCTATCAGTGGAAAAGAATGCCGTTTGGACTTGTGAATGCCCCGGCAAGTTTCCAATCTCATATGTGCAAAGTTTTGAATGTTTTGAATTGGAAAACCTGTCTTGTGTACATTGATGATATTCTAGTTTTCTCACGTACATTCGAGACTCATTTGAATAACTTACAAGAGATCTTCGATAGGCCAAGGCAGGCACACTTAACACTCAAACCAAGCAAGTGTTCATTTGCTCGACATAAGGTACATTACCTAGGTCATGTGATCTCTAAAGATGGAGTTCAAGTTGATACATCTAAAACAGATGCTGTTGATTCATATCCTGTCCCAAAAACCCAAAAACAGGTAAGATCTTTCTGAGGTCTCTGTAATTACTATAGGAAGTTTGTCAGAAACTATAGCAAGATAGCATCTCCATTAAACAAACTACTCCAAAAGGATGTGAAGTTTGAATGGTCACAGTCCTGTACAGGGTCATTTGACCAGCTCAAACAAGCTTTGACCTCCCCACCAGTACTAGCATACCCAGATCACACTAAACCATTCATTTTGACAACAGATGCATCAGGTGAAGCCATTGAGTATGTATTGGGTCAGTTAGACACAAACAAACGTGAACGTGTTATTGCCTATGGTGGTCGTTCCCTTAACCAACATGAACGGAAATACTCCATTTCCGAAAGAGAAGGCCTTGCAATTGTTGAAGGTATAAAAAAATATCATGTGTACCTAGCATCAACATGTTTTAAAGTATATACTGACCATAGTGCTCTTAAATGGATGAAAGATATAAAGCCAGAGTCCACAGGTAGGTTAGCCAGGTGGTCTGTACTCTTACAAGGCTATGACTTTGAAATCTTGTATAAGGCAGGTAAAACAAATGAAGTGGCTGATGCCCTTTCCAGACGACCATACCCCCCAGTTCAGACTACCACTACAAAAGATGAATTAGAAGAAGTAGACCCCCATCCAGAAGTTTCTTATGTAGGTCCCGAAAAAAAGTCTTCATTTCAACAAGTCACATTTATATACAGTAATCAAACCCCAAGCGCACCTGTAACAGAAGTTTCAGATTCTGTTACTCCGGAACCAGTGGGTAGACTTCAATCTAAATGTCCAGACTTTAGGGATATCTACAATTACTTGGCTACAGGAGATCTACCTACATCAAAGCCACAAGCTGTCAGAATATTATCTCTTTCCAGTCAGTATGTTCTACTAGATGATACCCTATATCACTTGTACATACCCGCCCCTAAGAGAGATACTCAGAAAACTCCTCTTCGTCAACTTGCAGTCCCTAGGTGTCTTAGAGAAGATGTTCTCAGATCTTACCATGACTGTCAAGCTGGCGGCGCACACTTAGGGTTTGATAGGACATACAAAGCCATACAACTGAAGTATTATTGGCCTAAAATGTTTCGGATTACTGAAGACTATATCAGGTCATGTGACACATGTCAACGGATAAAAAAGACTGCAAAAAAGAAGCATGCACCATTAACAACAATGCCTATCTGTGACACATTCTCACGACTACATATGGACATTTTAGGACCTATCACGACAACAAAAGAGGGTTACAAATACATTCTTCTGGTGGTCGACTCTTTCAACAAATGGCCAGAAGCATTTCCTCTTAAAACACAAGATTCTAAAGAAATTGCCAAGGTTTTGTACTCTGAAATATTTGCCAGATATGGTGCCCCAAGTACAATTATCAGTGATAGAGGACAGAATTTCATGAGTAAACTTGTAACCGCTGTATGTGAAATTTTTCAAGTGACTAGACACTTCACAAGTTCCTACCATCCACAAACCAACTCCACATGTGAACGCATGAACAGTACCCTGGCCCAATGCTTGAGAGCATACGTTGATAAAAATCAACTAAACTGGCCACAGTTCTTACCAGGTGTTCTTATGGCTTTCAGAATGTCACCATCTACACAAGCATCCAACCTATCGCCTTATCACATAATGTTTGGCAAAGAAATGAATTTACCCTTCGACACTGCCTTAATCCCAAAAGATGGTTTAAGCAAAGATGCTAAAACACATGTCAACCAGCTCATAGACCACCTCAAATATGTACGACAGACTGCAAATAAAAACATAACTGAGGCCAGAGCCAAACAAAAACAACATTATGACAAAAAGGCGTCAGTTCCCGAATTCCACATCCATGACTTGGTTATGCTTCACTCACCTAAAATACCCCAAGGCTTGTCACCAAAACTACACCATCCTTGGGACGGACCATATTACATTGTCGATATAGGTTCAAACCATACCTACAAGCTTCGACGATGCAATACGCATAAGGAGATCAAATCTCTTATACATGCAAATCGATTGAAACTGTATACAAACCCAGACAACAGGCCTAATTTAAATCCACCAACATGTCCACCCAACATTGCTAATGTCCCAGGTAATCAGCAAGTTCAATTTCAAAAGAGACCAGCCGGACCAACCAACCGCAACCAAAAGACCCAAACCCAACCATCCCCAATCGCTGATAATTCAGCACAGTCCAACCAACCCACCCCATGTGCTGATAGTTCAGCACAGTCCAAGCAACCCACCCCAAACGCTGATAATTCAGACCAATCCATCCCTACCCAACCAATCAAATCAACTCCAAACAACCCTTCCCCTTCTCAGGATGACCAGCAGTCTTATCCAATTGAAAAACTTATCAAGTATAAGTTTCGCAATGGAGTCAAAGAATTTCGTGTGAAATGGCTTGGTCATTCTGTCCGAACCTGGGAGCCTGTAGAAAACCTACCTCCAGCGATGGTTCGCGAATTTCATATCACAAAAACGCAAACAGGGAAAGCTCGTAAAAAGGGTAAGCAATCAAAACTGACATTTTTCTCACGGCAATAAAACATTCACAGGGAAGGTAAACTCATTGGTATCTTTTACTGGTATTTTTTTTTCTCTATTTCTTCCTTTCTACTTTTTCTCTCTAAATGCATTGAATGCTAAGATTTAAAAAGATGTAATTCTGTTTATTTAGTGCTTTGAGGTGATTGCAACATCTCATAACGGCATACAAAATGCTAAATCTTATTCTATCTGTCTGCTTCTTATTAGGTATCTTTGGACTTCCTCCTGTGTGGAGCTTCCTTGCTGTGATGACCCTTCTGATTCTCCCCTTTGCGGCCTGCGATAATGAACCTTCACTAGTTCAAAGACTGAACTATGGAATTTTGTTTGATCCAACTGCAAAATTACATCTTGGCCAAGAATATTGGTCCCACACCTTTGAAATAACACTCCCAGCTAAAATACACCTCCCAGGAAGTCTTCAGTGTAGACGTCAACAATGTGAACCTGCAAACGTTGTGTTGAAAACATTGAATGCTTTAAGAATGCAATGTATGGCTAGTATAAACTCCACAGTCACAAAAATCCATCGCCTGATCCCTCATTCTTACTTTCCAAATACATTAAAATTTGGTTCAAGAAGATCCAAGCGAGGTTTGATGGACTTCATCGGTGATGTCTCTAAATCATTGTTTGGTACAGCAACATCAAGTGATGTTGACAACTTAAAACAACATATGCAAGCAATGAACAATGACAATATTAAACTTGCCAAAGCCATGACTCAGGAAGCCCATCAGTTAACATCATTTGTATCTACTGTCAATGAACGATTTGACAATGTTATCAAGGCAGTACGTGACAATCATGACGAATCTGTTACTTTAGCCCAACAATTTTCTAGTGCTATGGATGGAATGCAACATGAGTATATATTGCTAGAAAATAGGATGTTAAAACAAATCAACTCTAGTGCAGTTTTAGAAAAACATTTAGAACATGTACAGCTAGCAATTCATGATTTTGCTAAAGGCAAGTTGTCCCCCTTTATTTTGTCACCTCAGACTATTATATCTACACTCAAACAAGTCCAGAACATATTATCTACAAGATATCCAGGTACAAACATTATCCATTTTGATCCAATACATTATTACTCATTTGCTAATTTTTTATATGCTAGACACAGTTCTAATTTGTACATCTTGTTGAAGATTCCTATATCATCTTTTGTTCAACCTTTATCACTATACAAAGTTTACTCTTATCCAGTGCCAATTAACACCACATCAACTCATGCCACCCAATTATTAGACACTCCAGATTATTTTGTACATACCAGTGATAATCAGCATTTTTCAGTTCTTTCACATACCCAACTGAGTCAGTGTACAGGACAAGACATTATGTATTGTCCTTTTCATGTAGCTTTAAATTCTGTAGCATCTGGTTCATGTTATTCTTCAATTTTTTATAATCAAAAGTCTCAAGTGAAATCTTTTTGCGATTTCCGTTTTGTACCAAACACACTTAAAACTAGCATTATTGAACTTTCACCTTCAACCTTAATGATGTATCGCACCAAAATGTTAGCATTAGACTGCCGGTCTGGACAGAAAATGATGAAAGGTTGTAATTTTTGTGTAATACGTGTACCATCAAGATGTTCGGTCACTTCAGATAATTTGTATCTCCCACCCAGACTTGGTCCAGGTCAAAATGACACCGGAGAGATCACCATACTACATCCTGTCAATTTGGCATTGATTCAACATTTTTTCAACCCTGAAAATCACGCCTCCATATTTGGAGACACTAATTATGGAAAATCAATTCAAATTAAAATTCCAAATATCGACATTTATAATCACTCTTTTTCTCAAACTTTGGCAAATGACAACCAGTACCATCTCAGTCTTGAACGTATAGCTAAGAAAACAAAACAAGGCGAAAAAGTATTTCAAACATTATCAGAATCTATTATAGATGGTCAGCTAGCATTTACCTCCAGCAATTGGCCAGACACTAGCGGAATTATAGCTTTACTTGCCACAGCTTCGGCATGGTTAGCAATTGCATTATTTATTTGGATATTAAGAAAATTTCGTCGCCTTTCAGCTACTTTATTATTAGCACAAAAATCTTCTGCACTAACCATCCCACCAGATGTACCCAGTTTTCATTATAGTGCACTACCTGACTTAACAACCCTGCCTACCATCACTGACCATGTGTACAACTCGACACTCAGAGGTCGAGTCTTAAGGTCTCTTCATATTGAGTGGGATCAGTTTTCTATAATAAATAATCACACTAAACAAGTAATCTACCCTAACAACACCATTAATATCTCCCTCTTTCAAACCCGGCGCATTGCAAAACTACTGAGGCACCCATATGCTGCCTACTTCATATTAACCCATCAAGGGTACTTCCAAGTTTTGAGTTGAATAAAAACGCCAAGTTTGATTATTGTATGGACATGAATTACCCAGGCATGACTTACTTTGACATTTTATGTATATATTGTATTTAAACATGTTACTTTTCCATTTCTTCAATGTGTAATTGTTGTTTAAGTTGGACATTATAATATGTACAACTGTACCAACCATAAGTCATTTTTCCATGACACTTTGTCTATAAGGCAAATAACTTTGTGATAATTCAAATATGACTTTAAAATAATTCTTTTATTCAACCACCGGCCGGAGTTGTTTAAAATGTATGTGTATATATAGTTAAAAACATGACACTTGTCAACTTATTGACTTTTATATATGTAGATCAATATGTATGAACTTTTGTATGAATTATCTCCCTTTTTCAATAATTCCTACCACTACTTTTAATCTTTGAGGACAAAGATTTCTCCCAACCAGGAGGGATATATCATACTGATATTTTACATTTTTCATAACTTACATAAAAATACATAAACTTGTTTATTGCAATGAAATTTTGGAACTTTTTACTATTTGGATTATTTTCGTAATCTTTTTACTATTTGGAATATTTTCGTAAAACATTTTACAAACAATAATCCCCAAATAATACAATAACCACATACTTAGCCACGTTAATTGAGCTCTAAAACAGTTTGGCAAACAAGATTTACGTTTCCCACATTTAGATTATTTGTTCGGTTCGGCGACTCTGTTAGATTCTCATAATCCCTTTTGTCATTTCAATTAAGAACTCACGTCCGGTCCCGACTCTATCTTTGTCTCTTTGTAAAAGAATTATCGGCCGTGTTAGAGTCAATTAGGACTTGGGTGCTCTTACGTAACCTTACTTCCAGATTGGTGTTTTTCACAAATTTCTTTGTCCGAACCCACGCTAAGATCCGACCAATCAGCAATAAGGTCCGACTGGATATATGTTTTTGTTGAGGCCCCTCAAAGGTAAATTACCTATACTTCATATAGAAAATACTGTAAATAACCCTCCTGGAACCTCACCAACATTGGGGGCATCTGAGTAAGTTACCTGTCGCTTGTACAGCTAACCACTTGAAGCTACGACCAGAATAAAGACACATCAAATTTATCAGGCTGTCTCCATTGTAATTTTACAGGTGAGCAATTCTTTTTACATGTATTTTTATATTTTAATTCTTGTATACTGAATTTATTCATATTCATTTGTATGAAATTATTCTGTGTTTATTAGTGTTATACCCTTTTTATGTTTATAATGCAATATAACATCTTATTCCAAGTAACGTGTGAGACACAGAATTTGTAGTTTTCCCACTTGTAATCTTTTCGACCTTCAGATTTAATTCAAGTACGGTAGAATTCTATTAAGTTTGGATAGGCAAAAATTAGATTTAAGATGCTCCAAAATAATCTAATTTGGAGCATAAACATTATATTTTTCTTTAACAAAGGCTTTACATTTTTGAGGAACGAAGTTTTATAAAGATTTTATATACGCAAGCTAAAAAGAAATCGTTACCTTAAGCTGTAACTTATTATTTGTATTTAACTTATAATTATCAAAGATTTTGGTATTGTTACCGCACTTGTGGGCCAAATTGTTCAGAGCACTAGAATAGAGTTACGTTCCCTTCTGAATTCTTAACCTCCGCTTTGCAAAAGAAAATAAACACGTGTGTGTGCTTTTACCTAACGGACCATCATGATTTTGAAATGTATATTTACCCGTCTCACAATGCTCAAGAAAGAGTAAGTAACTTGTTGATGTTATGCATATGATTTTTATATACTTGTCTCGCCAAATGTTACCTGATATATTATTTCAATACCATGTTTGAGAATTGTGCGGAAAGTATTGTTTGCATTTTATATGACTCAAGAGTTTCTGGAATTATTTACCTCATATGTCCAAACAACTTTTTAATCAACACCATACCCATCGTTAACTTAAATTAGACAAGTTTGTAAGAACAATTTTTAGAACAGAGTTTTTATTTATCATTTCGTAAGTCAGCAATTGTAATCATCCCTCTTGGAACTTTCATTCAGTTAATTTCCATAAACCGGAAGTCCATTCCAAAACCGGAAGTTACCAATGCAGACAAGAAGTGGGCTTTCCCATGTAAACAAATACACGTGTGGTAGGTTCCCTGCTTCTTTGTACACTGTCTAGATTTAAATTGTTTTGAATATTTTATTCTTAACTAGAACCATAATATTCTCTAAATTAAATTCATGTTAATAGCTTTCCTCCCTTATCAAGATTAAATTTGTTTTGTATATTTTTATTTTGCCATACTCGATTAATTGTTAATTATAATGTGTATTGGTTAATTAAGTTTTTCTGCATAAAAAAACTTTAACATATTATTATATTGTTTATGCTGGGTCCCTGCTGCTCGAGTTATTCCTAATTAGACATCGACCCCTCACTGCCAAGCAAGAGTAGCTCTACTTAGTTAATTCTCCCCAGTTTTAACTTAGCTAATTTTCCCCATTTTTGTTTATTATTTTTCTACATTAGGATTTTTATTGTACTGTAATTAAACCCAAAGTGTGGTTTAATTCGCGATTGATATTTCATATCAATAACAAAAATTTCCTATGTATGTTTCTATTATTATTTGTTTCTACATTAGATGTTCATTGTATTGTAAATTAAATCCAATGCGTGGTTTAATTCATGATTGATAATGTATATCAATAACAAGAATTTCTATGTATTATTGTCTGTATATAACCACTTGAAGCTGCGACCAGAATAAAGACACATCAAATTTATCAGGCTGTCTCCATTGTAATTTTACAGGTACCAACAACACAACAACACAACAAAAGCGTTGTAATATATCCCCGCAAACACGGAATAAATTTCTGTCTTTTTGCAACTAAAATATTTTACATGGTATTTATGTTTTTAATTAAGATCTACTGTCAATTTTTAAGATAATCAATGCTTGTTAAACATGCTGGTTATGTAAATTAATTTATTGAAAAATGTATAGACATCGTCGGGTAAAAGAAATCAAGGTACAATCAGGTTGTGTAGTATGACAAGTCTGTCATCTACTGTAGATTACGTGCATGACATATGGATTCTGAGTACCTGTCTGATTTGCTTGTCTTTCTTTTTCATCCAGTAAAATAAAGTCTCTGTAGAGCTTACATCGGCTCGTGATATCTGTCTGGATTTCAAATAGGTTTTGCAGTATGAAAAATTAGCTTTTCACCGGTCCAGCTTATCAATAGAACACAATAGGTAATTTAACCTCATACGACCTGCATCAAAACAGTAAAGATAATAACATTTCATAATCCTTTAATTATTTATTTTTATAGAGTGAAATAGTAAAATGGAAAAGAAAAAAAAAGAAAAACAAGCATAACAAATGTACGGTTTGTCCTAATGCCGGGCTACCAGCCACACCTCGTTGTGGCGGTGATTAATAGTGTATGGACCGTCATATCCCGCAAAGTAATAAAACCTTTCCTCGAAACGCGACGGGTCTGCTATTTCTGTTACAAGAGATTCAATCATAGCCATTTTCTCGTCGAATGACGGGCGGCCTCCAAAAGACCTGTAACAAACATTGATATAAGTTTATCATATCCGACTATCACGAAAATCGATTTACAGTGTGGAAAAGGTCGCAATTATTTTACACAAAAAATACAACTTAACATAAAAGTTCATATTACAATAATAAGCAGTGTCCTTAAAATAGCTGATCATAGTACGATATTAAGCAGTGTACTTAACATAAAAGAACATAACAGATCATACTACAGTTTTTAGCAGTGTCCTTAACAGAACGGATCGTTTTACAGTATTTAGCAGGGTTCTTAACATATCGGATCATGTAACAGTATTTATCAGTGTACTTAACATAACGGATCATATTACAGTATTGAGCAGTGTATTTAACATTAAAGATCATATTACAATATTTACTATTGCTCTGCACTGCCACTATATAACACTACCAAGGCAAGTTCCGTGGATATCTCCACGGAACCGACTAACTACCAGATAGCTATTCCCATCCGCACTAGCAAGCGGATAAGCAAACAATCTCAGTATGATTCAGTAACATTCACCGTTTTATGTAAGTCTATCATAAAATGTGAATTGAATATATATTTATTGATTAAATTGTGGAAATATTTTTTTGTTTACTTTTACGAACTTTATTTTTGTACGGGAAAAGTCACGTGACAACAGCGCGATATTCGAATTTAAAAGTGCGTTGTGAACTTAGAAATGAAAGTTTAAAAAAATAATGAAAAATGTATTTATATGCAAAAAACAGCATTCTATTCCATGATATGGGCCCACTTGTATAAAACATCTCAAAGTTAAGGAAAATCTCAAGCAATGTATTGTCTATGGGAAATCTTAGACTTGAGGAAATCTCAAGAGTTGAGATGTTTTATACAAGTGAGCCCTGGTCCTATAACACGGAACAGGATTACAGACAAATAATCATAACGCGCGTTATATATTTTGTCTGCAATCATGTTCCATGTTTAGGACAATAACACGGAACAGAATGCAGTATAATGCTTAAGTATCTAGCAGTGTACTTAACATAACGGATCATATTACATTACTTACCAGTGTACTTAACATAACGGATCATATAACAGTATTTAACAGTGTCCTTAACATGACGGATCATATTACATTACGTATCAGTGTACTTAATATGACGGATCATGGTACATTATTTACCAGTGTACTTAATATGACGGATCATGGTACATTATTTACCAGTGTACTTAATATGACGGATCATAGTACATTATTTACCAGTGTACTTAACATAACGGATCATATTGCAGTATTTTGCAGTGTACTTAACATAACGGATCATATTGCAGTATTTTGCAGTGTACTTAACATAACGGATCATATTACAGTATGCAGCAGTGTACTTAACATAAAAGAACATAACAGAGCATATTACAGAATTAAGCAGTGTACTTGACATAAAAGATCATATTACAGTATTTAGCAGTGTACTTAATTAACATAACGGATCTTACTATAGTTTTTAGCAGTGTCCTTTACATATTATATCATATTACAGTAAGTTAGTAGTGTCCTTAGAGTAGGAGAGCATTGTACAGTGTATAAGAATATAAAGAAAACTTACTTAACGTAGACGTCAAAGGGAGGTAACACTGTGATATAAACACTAGGGTCGGTTGGAACTGGAGGATCGTCTTGAAATTCAAATGGTACCATGAAGTGGTCATAAAAGAAGCTCTCACATGTTGGTCCCGGTCCGTGTTCCACCTTTAGTATAACCGGAGTGGTCATCGGTATCTTAACGTCTGTAATCATATATATATATATATATATGGTATAACAGGGGTTGTCATCGGTATCTTAACGTCTGTATTCATATAGTATATATGGTATAACCGAAGTGGTCATCGGTATCTTAACGTCTGTAATAATATATATGTTTAGTACATCACATGATACTTTCTAGGATTGCTATTGGTTAACTACCCTTGTTCTATTTGGTATATTAAGCATCCGCCCTTGACAACGGGAACTATACCTGGAGACGGGCACTAATTGGACCGCTGAGACTTCGGGAAAGTAGCGTGACGCAAAGAGTTGCGCCCCTTCTCCTAGGGGTCGCTGTACATATTCTACTTTCACTTCATAAAGGAATGTCGAAATCTCTGTCACATGATGGGTCTTGTAAATGCCGCCGCAAACCTTGCCTGATGTCATTAAGATAACTTTTTGAGTAGATCTCTCCCTTTTTGTTGCGTATCACCACTAGGTCACATTCGGCTCCCCTTTCCAGTTGGAAGTCTTGTGACATTGCTATATATATACAAATACTATCACAGGTACTCAAGTGACATTGTTAAATATATACAAATACTATAACAGACCCTGTACGTAATGGTACTCAAGTGGCATTGTAATATATATACAAATACTATAACAGACCCTGTACATAATGGTACTCAAGTGACATTGTTATTTATATTCAAATACTATCACAGACCCTGTACGTAATGGTACTCACGTGGCATTGTAATATATATACAAATGCTATAACAGACCCTGTACATAATGGTACTCAAGTGACATTGTTATGCATATACAAATACTATAACAGACCCTGTACATTATGATATTCAAGTGACATTGTTATATATATATACAAATACTATAACAGACCCTGTACATAATGGTACTCAAGTGACATTGTTATATATATATATAAATACCATAACAGACCCTGTACGTAATGCTACTCAAGTGACATTGTTATATATATACAAATACTATAACAGACCCTGTACATAATGGTTCTCAAGTGACATTGTTATTTATATACAAATACTATAAAAGACCCTGTACATAATGGTACTCAAGTGACATTGTTATATATATATATAAATACCATAACAGACCCTGTACGTAATGCTACTCAAGTGACATTGTTATATATATATATATAAATACTATAACAGACCCTGTACATTATGGTACTCAAGTGACATTGTTATGTATATACAAATACTATAACAGACCCTGTACATAATGGTACTCAAGTGACATTGTTATGTATATTCAAATACTATAACAGACCCTGTACATTATGATATTCAAGTGACATTGTTATATATATACAAATACTATAACAGACCCTGTACATAATGGTACTCAAGTGACATTGTTATATATATACAAATACTATCACATACCCTGTACGTAATGGTACTCAAGTGACATTGTTATATATATATATAAACACTATAACAGACCCTGTACGTAATGGTACTCAAGTGACATTGTTATATATATACAAATACTATCACATACCCTGTACATAATGGTACTCAAGTGACATTGTTATATATATATATATATATAAATACTATAACAGACCCTGTAAATAATGGTTCTCAAGTGACATTGTTATATATATACAAATACTATAACAGACCCTGTACATAATGGTACTCAAGTGACATTGTTATATATATATATATATATAAATACTATAAAAGACACTGTAAATAATGGTTCTCAAGTGACATTGTTATATATATACAAATACTATCACATACCCTGTACATAATGGTACTCAAGTGACATTGTTATATATATATATAAACACTATAACAGACCCTGTACGTAATGGTACTCAAGTGACATTGTTATATTTATACAAATACTATCACACACCCGGTACGTAATGGTGCTCAAGTGACATTGTTATATATATATATAAATACTATCACAGACCCTGTACATAATGGTACTCAAGTGACATTGTTATATATATACAAATACTATAACAGACCCTGTACATAATGGTACTCAAGTGACATTGTTATATATATACAAATACTATAACAGACCCTGTACATAATGGTACTCAAGTGACATTGTTATATATATACAAATACTATAACAGACCCTGTACATAATGGTACTCAAGTGACATTGTTATATATATACAAATACTATAACAGACCCTGTACATAATGGTACTCAAGTGACATTGTTATATATATACAAATACTATAACAGACCCTGTACATAATGGTACTCAAGTGACATTGTTATATATATACAAATACTATCACAGACCCTGTACATAATGGTACTCAAGTGACATTGTTATATATATACAAATACTATAACAGACCCTGTACATAATGGTACTCAAGTGACATTGTTATATATATACAAATACTATCACAGACCCTGTACATAATGGTACTCAAGTGACATTGTTATATATATACAAATACTATAACAGACCCTGTACATAATGGTACTCAAGTGACATTGTTATATATATACAAATACTATCACAGACCCTGTACATAATGGTACTCAAGTGACATTGTTATATATATACAAATACTATAACAGACCCTGTACATAATGGTACTCAAGTGACATTGTTATATATATACAAATACTATAACAGACCCTGTACATAATGGTACTCAAGTGACATTGTTATATATATACAAATACTATCACAGACCCTGTACATAATGGTACTCAAGTGACATTGTTATATATATACAAATACTATAACAGACCCTGTACATAATGGTACTCAAGTGACATTGTTATATATATACAAATACTATCACACACCCTGTACATAATGGTACTCAAGTGACATTGTTATATATATACAAATACTATAACAGACCCTGTACATAATGGTACTCAAGTGACATTGTTATATATATACAAATACTATAACAGACCCTGTACATAATGGTACTCAAGTGACATTGTTATATATATACAAATACTATCACAGACCCTGTACATAATGGTACTCAAGTGACATTGTTATATATATACAAATACTATAACAGACCCTGTACATAATGGTACTCAAGTGACATTGTTATATATATACAAATACTATCACAGACCCTGTACATAATGGTACTCAAGTGACATTGTTATATATATACAAATACTATAACAGACCCTGTACATAATGGTACTCAAGTGACATTGTTATATATATACAAATACTATCACAGACCCTGTACATAATGGTACTCAAGTGACATTGTTATATATATACAAATACTATAACAGACCCTGTACATAATGGTACTCAAGTGACATTGTTATATATATACAAATACTATCACAGACCCTGTACATAATGGTACTCAAGTGACATTGTTATATATATACAAATACTATAACAGACCCTGTACATAATGGTACTCAAGTGACATTGTTATATATATACAAATACTATAACAGACCCTGTACATAATGGTACTCAAGTGACATTGTTATATATATACAAATACTATAACAGACCCTGTACATAATGGTACTCAAGTGACATTGTTATATATATACAAATACTATAACAGACCCTGTACATAATGGTACTCAAGTGACATTGTTATATATATACAAATACTATCACACACCCTGTACATAATGGTACTCAAGTGACATTGTTATATATATACAAATACTATAACAGACCCTGTACATAATGGTACTCAAGTGACATTGTTATATATATACAAATACTATCACAGACCCTGTACATAATGGTACTCAAGTGACATTGTTATATATATACAAATACTATCACAGACCCTGTACATAATGGTACTCAAGTGACATTGTTATGTATTTACAAAAACTATAACAGACCCTTTACATAATGCGACTCAAGTGACATTGTTATATATATATATATAAATAATATCACAGACCCTGTACATAATGGTACTCAAGTGGCATTGTTATTTATATACAAATACTATCACAGACCCTGTACGTAATGCTACTCAAGTGACATTGTTATATATATACAAATACTATCACATACCCTGTACGTAATGCTACTGAAGTGACATTGTTATATATATATATTCAAATATTATTAAAGACCTTGTACATAATGATACTTACGTTTAGAATTATTGCCGGAGATATAGTGAAATAGTTTGAAAAACATTTCGCTGCTGTCGTTTTGGGTAAACTCCATTGTAGTCAAATTGGTAGCTACCCACACGGATTCCTCGTAGTGTCGCAACTCGTACCCCTAAAACAATTAATAAAGGTATGTAAATTACAGACTGGTCAACATCTGCTACAATACATAGCTTATAAAGAAGCCACAAACGTTACCAAATATAAAAAACATTGAGAATTTAAGATTCAAGAAAACGGACGATTTGTTTAGCTGAATACATTGATAAGTTCGTACTACATGTAAATTGCATAATTTGGAAATCAAAGTTAATAAGATTTTAATTTCTCTTACACTAAGCAGATATGTTCCCGTTTTTGCTAGGGAAAAGATAGCCCTTCTTTTCCTACCTAGGAGAAGTCAACTCAAACACGTTTTTACTCTGAAATGCAGTGTAACCAGGGAAGCTTCATTCATAATGTCACACATGCGCCCTTGATAATTGCACGGTACTTGTAAGTCACCATTGTAACTATGGTTTACGGAACAGGAGTCAGGTAGAAAAATAATTAATCACTCATGTGTCATGCAGAGAGAAATTTCAACCCTTGGAATAAGATCTCGAGGTTAAGAACTCTATTCTATAATTGTCGGATAATTGCTCTTGTAATCCTCCTATAAAATGCAATCCCTTGTTATCCTCATCTATGTGAGATGCATTCCCTTGATATCCTCATATATGTGAGATACAATACCTTGTTATCATCATCTATGTGAGATGCATTCCCTTGTTACCCTCATCTGTGTGAGATACATTCCCTTGTAACCCCCATCTGTGTGAGATACATTCCCTTGTTACCCCATCTGTGTGAGATTCATTCCCTTGTTATCCTCATCTGTGTGAGATACATTCCCTTGTTACCACCATCTGTGTGAGATTCATTCCCTTGTTATCCTCATCTATGTGAGATAGATTCCCTTGTTACCCTCATCTATGTGAGATACATTCCCTTTTTATCCTAATCTATGTGAGATACAATTTTCTTGTTATCCTCATCTATGCAAAACACATTCCCTTGTTATCCTCATCTATGTGAGATACATCCCCTTGTTATCCTCATCTATGTGAGATACATTCCCTTGTTATCCTCATCTTCGTGAGATACATTCCCTTTGTATCCTATCTAAGTGAGGTATATTCCCTTTTTCACTTACCTTTGTGATATACATAACCATGTTTCCCTCACCTTTGTGAGATAATTCCCTTTTTACCTTTTTCTATACGAGATACCATTACCTTCTTTCCCCCATTTATATGAGATACATTCCCTTTTTATCCTAATCTATGTGAGATACAATTATCTTGTTATCCTCGTCTATGTGAGATAATTTCCTTTGTTACCCTCATCTTTCTGAGATACATTCTTTTGTTACCCTCATCGTTGTGAGATACATTCCCTAACTACCATCATCGATGTGAGATACATTCCCTTTTTATCCTCACCTTAGTGAGATACATTCCCTTACTATCCTCATTTATGTGGGATACATTCCCTTTTTACCCTCATCTTTGTGAGATACATTCTCTTTTTATCCTCATCTATGAGAGACACATTCCCTTATTACCCTTATATATCTGACATACATTTCCTTGTTATCCTTATCTTTGTGAGATATATTCCTTGTTATCTTCATCTTTGTGAGATTCATCTACATTACCCTGTTTCCCTCACCTTTGTCAGATAATTCCCTTTGTATCCTCATTTATGTTAGATACATTCTCTTGTTAATCTCATCTATGTCAGATACATTCCCTTATTAATGTCATTTATGTAAGATACATTCCCTTGTTACCCTCATCTTTGTGAGATACATTTATTTGTTACCCTGAACTATGTGAGATAATTCCCTTGTTAATCTCATATTTGTGAGATACATTCCGTTGTTTCCCTCATCTAAGTGAGATACATTCCCTTTTTATCCTCATTTTTGTGAGATACATCCCCTTGTTACCCTCATCTATGTGTGATACATTCCCTTTTTATCTTCATCGATGTGAGATACCATTACCTTCTTTCCCTCATATATGTTAAATAATTTCACTTTTATCCTTATCTATGTGATATACTTTCCTTTGTTACCCTTGTATTTGTAAGATACATTCCCTTATTGCCCTCATTCTTGTCATATACATTCCCTTGTTAATCATATCTATGTCAGATACGTTCCCTTGTTACCTCATCTTTGTGAGATACATTCCCTGGTTACTTCCATCTACATGTATGTCAGATGCATTCCCTTGTTACCCTCATCTATAGGAGATACATAACATTGTTCCCCTCCGTTGTTACCATCATCGATGTGAGATACATTCCCTTTTTATCCTAATCTAAGTGAGATACATTCCCTTACTATCCTCATTTATGTGAGATACATTCCCTTTTTATCCTCATCTAAGTGAGAAACATTGATCCCTTGTTTCCCTCACGTAATGGAGATACATTCCATTTTTACCCTCATCTTTGTGAGATACATTCTCTTTTTTCCCTTATCTATGAGAGATACATTCCCTTATTACCCTCATCTATCTGAGATAAATTCCCTTGTTATCGTCATCTTTGTGAGATACATTCCCTTTTTATCCTAATCTAAGTGAGATACATTCCCTCACTATCCTCATTTATGTGAGATACATTCCCTTTTTATCCTATCTAAGTGAGATACATTCCCTTACTATCCTCATTTATGTGAGATACATTCCCTTTTTATCCTCATCTAAGTGAGAAACATTGATCCCTTGTTTCCCTCACGTAATGGAGATACATTCCATTTTTACCCTCATCTTTGTGAGATACATTCTCTTTTTTCCCTTATCTATGAGAGATACATTCCCTTATTACCCTCATCTATCTGAGATAAATTCCCTTGTTATCGTCATCTTTGTGAGATACATTCCCTTGTTAATATCATCTATGTCAGATACATTCCCTTGTTAATCTCATTTATGTAAGATACATGCCCTTGTTACCCTCTTCTATGTCAGATGCATTCCCCTTTTACCCTCATCTTTGTGAAATACATTTAATTGTTACCCTGAACTATGTGAGATACATTCCCGTCTTACCCTCATCTTCGTGAGATACATTCGATTGTTTTCCTCATCTAAGTGAGATACATTCCGTTGTTTCCCTCATTTGTGTGAGATACATTCCCTTTTTATCCTCATTTTTGTGGGGATACATCCCCTTGTTACCCTCATCTATGTGAGATACATTCCCTTTTTATCTTCATCGATGTGAGATACCTTTACCTTCTTTCCCTCATATATGTTAGATAACTTCCCTTTTTTCCTTATCTATGTGAGATACAATTCACTTGTTATCCTCGTCTATGTGAGATACTTTCCTTTGTTACCCTCATTCTTGCCAGATACATTCCTTTGTTAATCTCATCTATGTCAGATACATTCCCTTGTTAATCATATCTATGTCGGATACATTCCCTTGTTACCTCATCTTTGTAAGATACATTCCCTGGTTACTCTCATCTACATGTCAGATGCATTCCCTTGTTACACTCATCTTTGTGAGAGACATTCACTTACTTCCCTCACCTATAGGAGATACATAACATTGTTCCCCTTATCTTTGTGAGATACAATCCCGTCTTACCCTCATCTTTGTGAGAAACATTCCCTTTTATCCTCATCTAAGTGAGATACATTCGTTGTTTCCCTCATATAAGTGAGATACATTCCCTTTTTATCCTCATTTTTGTGGGATACATCCCCTTGTTACACTCATCTTTGTGAGAGACATTCCCTTACTTCCCTTCATCGATGTTAGATACCTTAACCTTCTTTCCCTCATATATGTTAGATAATTTCCCTTTTTTCCTTATCTATGTGAGATACAATTCACTTGTTATCCTCGTCTATGTGAGATACTTTCCTTTGTTACCCTCATCTTTGTGAGATACATTCCCTTGTTAATATCATCTATGTCAGATACATTCCCTTGTTAATCATATCTATGTCAGATACATTCCCTTGTTACCTCATCTTTGTGAGATACATTCCCTGGTTACTCTCATCTACATGTCAGATGCATTCCCTTGTTACACTCATCTTTGTGAGATACATTCTCTTCCTACCCTCACATATTGGAGATACATAACATTGTTATCCACATCTTTGTGAGATACATTCCTTGTTATCCTCATATATGCGAGATACATTGATCCCTTGTTTCCCTCACATTTGTCAAATAATTTCCCTTTTATCCTCATCTATGTGACATACATCTCCTTGCTAAACTCATCTATGTGAGATACTTTCCTTTGTTACCCTTATCTATGTGAGATACATCCCCTAGTTAAATCATCTATGTCAGATGCATTCCGTTGTTACCCTAATTTTTGTGAGATACATTACCTTGTTACCCTCATCTTAGTGAGACACATTCCCTTGTTACCCTCATCTTTGTGAGATACATTCCCTTTTTATTCCCATCTTTGTGAGACACATTCCCTTGTTACCCTCATCTTTGTGAGATACATTCCCTTGTTACCCTTATCTATGTGAGATACATCCCCTAGTTAAATCATCTATGTCAGATGCATTCCGTTGTTCCCCTAATTTTTGTGAGATACATTACCTTGTTACCCTCATCTTAGTGAGACACATTCCCTTGTTACCCTCATCTTTGTGAGATACATTCCCTTTTTATTCCCATCTTTGTGAGACACATTCCCTTGTTACCCTCATCTTTGTGAGATACATTCCCTTGTTACCCTTATCTATGTGAGATACATCCCCTAGTTAAATCATCTATGTCAGATGCATTCCGTTGTTCCCCTAATTTTTGTGAGATACATTACCTTGTTACCCTCATCTTAGTGAGACACATTCCCTTGTTACCCTCATCTTTGTGAGATACATTCCCTTTTTATCCCCATCTTTGTGAGACACATTCCCTTGTTACCCTCAACTTTGTGAGATACAATTCACTTGTCATCCTCGTCTATGTGAGATACATTACTTTGTTAACCTCATCTATGTCAGATACATTCCCTTGTTAATTATATCTATGTCAGATACATTCCCTTGTTACCTCATCTTTGTGAGATACATT